ACCAACTCCACAGTACTGAACAGCAGCAACAACATCAAGAAACTAAAATGATAACCCACAGAATGAAAGAAATACTTTGCAAATCATGTGCTTATGAAAAATGTATATGCCAAATATTTAGAGAACTCTTAGAAGCAAACACAGATCAGAATCTCAGTGAGATACCACCTCAGACCTACCAAAAAAAAAAACAAACCAAAACTGCCATTGAGTCGAGTTCAACTCTAAACCACCCTATCTATGTAGGGTTTATGAGGCTTTAAATCGTTATGGGAGCAGAAAGTCTCCTCTTTCTCCTGTGTAGTAGTGGATTTGAACTGCTGACCATGAATTTAGTAATCCAACATGCAATTTCCTATGTCACCAGGGCTCTTAAACTTAAGTCACGAACCAGGATAGCTAAATTTAAAAGACAGACAATAGAAAATACTGGCAAAGATGTATAGAAATTGGAGACTTCATCAATTGCTGGTAGAATGTAAAATGGTGAAGCCACTTTGGAAAGCACTTCTGAAGTTCCTCAAAATGTTTTACATAGATTTACCATATGCCCACACAAAGACCTGTCACAAATGTTTATAAGAGCTTAATTTAAAATAGCCTAAAATGGAATCAGCTTGTATGTCTGTCAACCGAAGAATGGATACATAAAGTTTATATAAAGACAGTAGAGTATTATTGAGCCATAAAAAGGAATAAAGTAGTAGTCTTGTATGCCAGTATAGGATCAGCACTGGACTGCAAACGAAATGGTCAGCAGTTCAAATCCACCAGGTGTTCTTTGAAAGTCATCCTGTACAGGGTTGCTATGAATTGGAACTGACTCGATGGCATTTAACAATAACATATGGTGTGGCGCTATAGGATAAGCACTAGACTGGTAGCCACAAGGTCAGCTGCTCAACCTACCAGCTGTTCCATAAAAACCCTATACAGGGTCACTGAGTCAGAAGCGACTTGATGGCACTTAATAATGTGTTACATATTTATATATGTAGCATGGATGAATCTTTAAAACATTATGCTAAGTGAAAGTATAAAAGAAAGAGTCATAAAAAGTCGCATATTGTATGATTCCATTTGTATGAAAAGCTAGATATGGTGACTCTATAGACAAGAATTAGAATAGTGGTTATCTAAGACTGAGAGTCTTGGTGTGGTGCTCTAGGAGAAGAACTGGACTGTTAACCATAAGTTTGGTAATTCAAACCCACCAGCCACTACTCAGAAACCCTTTATAGGATTGTTAGGAGTTGGAACTGATTCAACTGCCCTTAACAAGAAGACTGGGAGGATTGTGGGAGATAGGGATTGGCTGCTGATGGGATTTCTGTGTGAATTGATAAAAATGTTTTAAAATTAGTAATGGTGATAGTTGCACAGCTATTTGAATACATTAAAAACCATCAAGCTCTGGTAGCCTAGTGATTATGAATTGGGCTGCTAACCTCAAGGTCAGCAGCTTGAAACTACCAGCTGATCCACGGGAGAAAGATGAGGCATTCTGCTCCTGTAAAGATTTACAGCCTCGGAAACACTCTACAGGGTCGCTGTGAGTCAGAACCAACTCCACCGTACACCACCATAATCATTCAGTTGTAGATTTTAAAGATTATATGATTTGTGAATCGTTGTTTTTGGTATTAGGTACCATAACAACCCAGTGACCAACAGAACAAAACACTGCCAGGTTCTGCGCAAGCCTCAAAATCATTCTGACACTTTGAACCCATTGCTGCTGCCATTATACCAATCCATCTTGTTTGGGATCTTCCTTGTTTTCACTGACCCTTCACATTTCCAAGCAAGATGTCCTTCTTTAGGGACTGATTCCTCCTGATAATATGTCTAGAGTATGAGAGACAAAGTCTGGCCATCCTGGCTTGCAAGGAGCATTCTGGCTGTACTTCTTCCAACCCAGATTTGTTTGTTCTTAGGGCAGTCCATGGTAATTTCAATATTCTCCTCCAACACCAGCTGGATTATATGAAGAAAAACATGACATCAAAATTGGAGGAAACTCAATAACAACTTGTGATTTGCAGACAATACAGCGTTCCCCAAGTGAAGAAGTCATAAGATGATATATTGGAAAGTAAAAGAAAAGCAAATTAAAAAGCAGTATTGTCAATGTGTTCCTAGTTTGATCTAAGGACTACACAATGATTTAAAAGAAAGGAAAGTTAAATTGTCTAGATGTTGTTGTTCTTAGGTGCCATCAAGTCGATACCGACTCATAGTAGCCCTATGCACAACAGAACAAAACACTGTCCAGTCCTGGGCCAACCTTACAGTTGTTGCCATGCTTGAGCCCATTGATGCTGCCACTTTGCCAATCCATCTCGCTGGGGGGTCTTCCTCTTTTTCTCTGACCCTCTACTCTACCAAACATTATATCCTTCTCTATGGTCCCTCCTGACAATATGTCCAAAGTACGAGAGACGAAGTTTGGCCATCCTGGCCTCCAAGGAGCACTCTGGCTGCACTTCTTCCAACACAGATCTGTTCTTTTGGCATCCCTTGGCACTTGGAATATTCTCCAACACCATAACTCAAATGCATCAATTCTTTTATGTTCTTCCTTACTCACTGTCCAGCTTTCACATGCATGTGAAGTTATTGAAAATACCATGGCTTGGATCAGGCACACCTTGTCTTCAAGCTGACATCTTTGCTCTTCAACACTTTAAAAAGGTCTTGTGTAGCCGATTGGCCTAATGCAATATGTTGTTTGATTTCTTGACTGCTGCTTCCATGAACATTGATAGTTGATCCAAGAAGAATGAAGTCCTTGACAACGTCAGTCTTTTCTCTGTTGATAAGAATGTTGTTTATTGGTCCATTGGTGAGGATTTTTGTTTTCTTTACATTGAGATGCAGTCCATACCGAAGGCTGTGCTCTTTGATCTTTGTCAGTAAGTATTTTAAGTCTTCTTCACTTTCAGCAAGCAAGGTTGTATCTTCTGCATATCGTAGGTTGTTAGATGAGTCTTCCTCGAATCCTGATGCCACAATTTTCTTCGTATAACTCAGCATCTTGAATTATTTGTTCAGCATACAATTTGAGTAAGTATGGTGAAAAAATACAACCCTGTGACGTACCTTTCTTAATTTTAAACCATTCAGTGTGTCCATGTTCTGTTCAAACAACTGCTTCTTGGTCCGTGTACAGAATCCTCATGAGCACAATTAAGTGTTCCAGAATGCTCATACTTTACAATGTTATCCATAGCTTGTTATGATCCACACAATCACAAGCCTTCACGTAGTCAATAAAGCACACGCAAACGTCTTTCTGGTAGTCTGCTTTCAACCAAGATCTATCAGACATCAGCAGTAATAATATCGTTTGTTCCATATCCTCTTCTGAATCCGGCTGACTTGAACCTCTGGAAGTTCTCTGTCAATGTATGCTTGCAGTTGTTTCTGTATTACCTTTAGTAAAACTGTACTCACATGGGATATCAAAGATAGTCTGATGATTTCCACTTTCCGTTGGGTTACCTCTCTTTGGAATGGGCACAAATACGGATCTCTTCTAATCAGTTGGCCAGACAGTTGTCTTCCAAATTTCTTGTCATAGTTGAGTGAGCGCCTCCAGTGCTGCCTCACTTCCTTGAAAGATTTCAAGCTTACATCTGTTTCTCTTCATTTTGAGTTGTGCCTCATCTACAAATGAAGGTCCTGTGGTCTTTACTCCATTCGTGTCATCATGGTTAACTCTACTTTGAGGAGGCAGCTCTTTTCCAGTTGGAGTGTCTTCCAACCTGAGGGGCTCATCATTTTCTTGGCACTGTATCTGGCAGTGTTTCTCTGCTATTTGTAAAGTTTTCAGTAGCTAAATATTCAGAAGTAGTTTGTCACTCCTTCTTCCTAGGCTGTCTTCTTCTGGAAGCTCATCTGAAACCTGCCCACCATGGGTGACCCTGCTGGTATTTAAAATAACTGTGGCATAGCTTTCAGAATCAGCAACTCACAAGTCTCACCACAGATGAGTGGTGGGTCTAGATGTTAGAATTGTGTATTTTCTCTTTTTTCGTATTTATACTGTCTCATTTTCTTTTATAATGAGTGCATTTTTTTTTTGTCTTTTTATCTTTTAAGCTTTTTTTGGTGAGTTGAGTGAATGAAGGTGTAAAGGGCATGTATCAGTTTTACGTTCAGCAAATGATTACAGTGATTACAATCCACTCCATGTACCCTTAACCAACAGTATTTACCTCTTTTTTTTTTTTTTTTTTGAGTGTGCATTGCTTTTGTAATAAACATGTTTTAACTTTAAAAAAAAGTGACAGCAGAAGTGTAGAAAGAGTAATTACCCTGGATGTAAAATTAGAAGTGTTATTGGAATTGGTGTTGTATGAAAATAGTCAGGCTAATAGAAATAGTAATGTGTCAGCATTGTTTAAGTTTCCTGGTATTTTATATTTTAGTGTTTTTATGTTTGTGTTAAGATTCCTTAGCATGAATTTTATGTGCTTGTAAAGATGTTTTGGTGGTGGAGTAGATTTATTGTAAGGTTAGAACTAGACTATTTTTGATGGGATTAGAGGAAGAATTTTCTTAGAAACACATGAAACTGCTTTGCATAAGAGTTATCATTTTATAAACGTACCTCTTGGTATATGGAGTGCTACTGGTACTTAGGAGTCCTGGTGTGGTGCTGTGGGTTAATGCATCAGACTGCAAAGCCGTTTGAACTATAAGGTCGGTGGTTCACACTCATCAGCTGCTCCTCGGAAACCCTATACAGGGTTGCTATGGGTCAGAATCGACTCCACGAGACTTAACAACAACAATGCTACTTAGCTTTCCTCAACTATAGAGAGATGAATTTTGTATGTCCTCTCAGTAAATCAATTAATTGTAAAATAGAGTATAGAAAATCACATGAAGGCCCCAGGATTGTTTTTTCTAAGGGAGATGGTGAAGGAAATTGTTTCTATTTAATCTGCATGTAAAAACAAACAAACAAACAAGAATTTATTCTTTATTCCCAGATTAGAAATGATATTTGCCAAATTTGATGAAGTACAAAATTCAGGCGGTATGATTTTGAATGTCTACAAAGGTAAGAGTAATTAAGTTATTCCAGTACTCGAACAAAGTTTTAAACACTAAAATGTTTCAAGTCAACTAATATATCACTGTAGAAGAGTTGGTTTCATAACTTTAAATTTTAATTGGATTACAATAATAGTTTTTCCATCCTGTTGATCATTACCTAGCATATGGCTCTTTGGAGTAAGTGAAAATTTAATTATAGGTCACTTGTGTAAAATGATACTGGGTTTTTACTTTGTGTGAGTGTGTTTGTTATGTGTGTGTTTCTGTCTTTTGGGTTGAAGGTATGATAACCCTCTTGGCCTATATGGTCCATTTTAAAAAATTTTGTCTTTTTAATTCCCAGAGTAATTGTGGTGCTTAGTTGTGTCTCATGAGAATTATGGGATTGGTGGACTCTGTTAGGGAGACTGTCAGTGATGATACTGGTGATCAGATACATAAACATAGAAACTTCATCAGCATTATCATCTTTGGCTTCTTAATCCATATGAGACCAAATTGGAATTTGGGGAGACTTGGGATTAGTATCTGGCATTTATTTTATATTTTGTGGTTGCCCTCCTTTTTGTAAAGTTACTACATTGTTTTTAGTTTTATTGGATAGCATTTGCTATTCAATTTTAAGGAGATCTGGTAGGCACAGTGGTTACAAGTCCTGTTAATAACCCTCAAGGTTAGCAGTTCGATACTACCAGCTGTCCCGCCAGAGAAAGATGAAGCTTTCTGCTCCCGTAAAGACTTATAGCCTTGGAAACCCTATACAGTGTCGCTAAGTCAGAACCGATGCCACGGCCTACCATCACCACCCGAATAAATTTTAATTGGCAAGATGTGTGAAGAGTATATGCTATCTCCAAAAATAGTATAGGCGGTTTTTCATCTTGGAAAGTAGTTTCATATGAAAAAGAATGTGATTAAATTGGAAATATAAATGATGTTGCAGGATTTGGTGTGTGACCTGTGGTGTCAAATAATAGGGAAACTGTTTAGTAATATGATATAGTTATTTTTCTCTGGGTGAAACCAAGGCTTAGCTTAGTTGGCATGAGAATTTAGTGTTACAGAGATTGGGTCTGCCCTAATCTAAATTTAGTTCTGAAAGCATAAATTGACTTCAGTGCTACCAGTCAGTCTTCACCCTGACTGCCAGCTGCTTCTCACTTCTCTTCTCTGAATAAAGGTGTTTTAAGTATCTTATCCTTATTTTTCAAGTAGCTACCTCTGTCCATTTCCATAGAAACTGGAAATAACAGGAAGAACAGAGTAGTTAAAATTCCCTGAAGTAAAATTTGTATGTTTTTATAACAATATACACTCTCATTTTGTGTATCTATGTAATTAAAACTCTAATGAAAAAAGTATACTTTTTATATACTTTTATTATAAATTTTAAGATACTGTTTGGATATAGTTTATTTTTCAAGCACTTTTATTTTTGTAGTTTGTGATCTTCTAAGTAGAGTCTTTTTTGTATCCTATTCTTTCAGCTCCCCTTTCTTTTTCTCTTTTTTTTTGTATACTCTTGAAGAGGGACTTTTGAGATTACACTGGAGATTATAATGTGACTATGCAAGTATCGTCGGTTCTGGAAGTTTGTTTTATAGTAAGTATATTGAGACATACAGAAATTGGACGATATTTTTGATGCTGTCATTGAAAAATTCTCGTGAATTCGTTAGCAGAGAAGAATTGTTGTTAAGTGCCTTTGAGTCGGTTCCGATTCATAGTGACCCTGTATTGGGTTTCTGAGGAACAGCTGGTGAGTCTAAACTGGTGAGTTTGCAGTTCAAACCGACCTTGCAGTCCATTCCTTCTCCTACAGCACCACAAAAGAAGGAAGATTGCCCATTATGTTGACAGGTCTTAGGGCCCAAACATTTGACCTTTCATTTTCCCTGTCTCCATTCATTTGTTCATTCATATTCTTTCCTTTTTTGTCTCTCCTTAACCCCTATTAGTGGTCTCATCCACTCAACTATTTGCTAATGACTCTTAAATATGTTCTAACCTTGACTCATCATTTCCTAATTCTCTAGATTTGGTAGCCTGTGGTCTCAGTGACATTTACATTTGGATGCTTAATAGGTATCTCAGGCTTAACATGTCTAAAAGTGAAGCTCTGTTGTCTCTTACTCCCCAGATCTGTTCCTCTTCTAGCCTTATCCGCTATTCACTTAGGCTAGAAAGCAGGAGTCATTTTTGATCACCCATTCTAACTAATGAGCCTTTTCTACTTCAGAAATACTGATAAACCCCAAATTTACATATGCTTCCCATCTCTCTGCTAATACCCTACTCTCGTTGCCATTTACTTTTACCTGGACTATTGCTTAGCCTTCTGCTCCATGTTTGTTCCCCTGTAATACATTATCTTCCCAGAAAGTGAATAAACTTAAAAATGTAAATTAGATCATGTCATAACAATGAAGAAAACAGTTAAAGTTGCTGCCCTCAAGGAACCAACATTCTAGTGAGGAAGATAAATTGTAAATAAGTAAACAAATGGGTAAGCTGGGTGATTCTAGTTGGAGTCCTGGTGTGGTGCTGTGGGCTAATGCACTGGATTGCAAAATTGGTTTGAACTACAAGGTCAGCGTTTTTAAGCTCAACAGCTGCTCTTCAGAAATTGTATACAGGGTTGCTACAGGTCAGAACGAACTCATTGGCACTTAACCACAACAATAGTTGGTAATGGAGGAAATCCATCTATTCCTTGTTTATTGTTGTTGTTAAGTGCCGTTGTTGAGTCCGCTTCTACTCATAGGAACCCTGTATAAGATTTCTGAGGAGTGACTGATGAGTTCAAACTGCCAGCCTTTCAGTAGAAACTGACCTTATGGTTGAGTGCTTATCTCACACTAGTAGAAACTGACCTTATGGTTGAGTGCTTATCTCACACTACCACACCGACTTCACAGCCCACAACCACCACCACTACCAGTTGTCCATCTAAACTCTTCCACCTGGATCACTAGGCCATCATATTGTGGTTCCTCCTCACTTCGCCAAGTATATACCATTCATGGCCACCCATTTTCCTCATCTTTACTAGGCTCTCGCCACCCCTGATCTCCCTTCTGTTCTTTAAACATGCCATGCCCTTTTCCACCTCTAGGCTTTATGGTCACTGTTTTTCCTCTACCATAACATTTGAACTCTTACTGTTGTTGCTTGTAAGTGCTATCGAGTTGATTCTGAATCACAGTGACCCTGTATAGTGTTACCAAGGCTATAAATCTTTATTCGAATAGAAAGCCTGGTGGACTTGAACTACTAACCTTGCAGTTAGCAGTGCAACACATAAACCACTACGCCACCAGGTCTGCAGTGGGAATAAGAAATTCATGAAGGGTTTTAGCCAGGAGAGGGATGTAGTGAGTGGGAGTGGAACAGTCTTAACAGTTTCATCTAATTTACATTTCCAATTCTTTATTCTACCAATTCTCCACTTAAGTTTTGGTGCAAATCTTTCACATCACTTACCTTTTTTCATAATTGCCAAATTTATAGTCTTTTGATCTAAGTTCTGACTGAACTCCTTAACTTGACTTTCTAGAGCAGTGGTTCAGCATGTTCAGGAACACATACGATTTGAACATAACCATTTCGTTTAGGAATAATGAGAAATGCAATACAGTTTTTTGTCTTGAGGGTTTTTCAAGCCTGACTTTTTAGTTCACTTATAACAAAGTAAGTTAGGAAGAATCCTTAAATACAGTGGAATCAGCTCTGCAATGAGAAGGAAACTGAATTTATATTTCATCAGACAGTGGTTCCGCCAGCCCTGTAGGAAGGAAAAGACTGAAAGCTGTAGTCCCCCTGTGACCATGCCAGTGTCTGTTGTCCTCATGGTGCCTTCCAGACAGTCGCCTACACTAACCAAGATGCAAACACCAGCAGTGCTGGTGGCTGTGACTGCAAATCTTTTTTTTTTCTTCTTTTCACTGTGAAAAAACTATGCATAACTGATTTGTGCGTGTGCATGTAGGATCAAGACCTAGTGCAATCTTGGCATGTAATCATTGTAAAATGTTTTCCAGCTTCCCTCTCTGAAACAGTTGCTAGGAAAAGAATTGCTCTTGGAGGGTGACAATAAAATAAAATGTGAAAATTAGGCTTTGAAATTACCTTGATATTTAACTTACCTCAGAGGGAATAAGGCAATGCTGGAGGCTAGTTTTGTGTAATGTTTTTTTTGTGAAAGGCAAAGTGGCTCTTTTAATGGGTTGACTTGGAAACCTATCTGTTTTGATCCCAGCGCCTTCTCAGAGCTTGACAATGTGTACTGATGGTTGTGCAGCTTGGATGGAGGGTGTTCTTCCCCCCTGCAGCTGCGCACTGGCTAGGTTCTGGCTCCCCTAGAAGCAAGCTTTGTTCCGAATGGCCCTTCTGTCCACACACAGAGCAGCCTTTGATGGGCTGCCTTTGACGTGATTTGTTTACGGCAGCCAGAAATGCTTCCTGCATAATGAGAGCAGTAAATCATGGAAACTGGGCTATTCCTGTTTGTGCACTTCTAGCAATCTTCTGTTGTAAATATTGAAAGGTAATGACAAAGAGATGAAAATCTTTTTTAAAAGGCGCAAATCAGCTAATTCATCAGATCATGTGATTGCTAGTGATTACATGGATATCTTTAGGGAAGCAGAAAATGATTGCTGAACACATGCCTTGTGTTTTGATGACTGCATTAAAAGTCCCCCCCGTGGGATGGCATTTATTTGCTCCAGAGCTTTTCTTACATTAAATTTCGGACACCCAGTATAAGAAGAGACTTTATAACTCGTATCTAACAACATATGTGCAGATAAAGGATAATCTTGGTCAAGCCCTGCAAGGCTCTGCTGAATAAAGGAGGGTTTTCAGCAAGACCCCAGACTTTTATTTTGAAGTGGAGTAGCAGCTGTTGGCTATTGCGGTGCAGAGCTGCAGAGCGGCCTGGGTCACACAGTGCTCTGGGTGTCTGCAGGCTGCAGGCCGAGCCCAGTGGCGCAGGCACTGAGC